ATTAATTATAAAAAATATATTTATTATAATCTTAATTTAAACACTAAAAACAAATAATAAAAAAACGTTTAAATTAAATCAGCCGGAGTCTAACTGATGACGAAAGCACACCTCACTTTTCCGTTTAATGTTATTATTATGTAAATAATTTTAATTAATTAATTTTAAGTTAATTTTTATTATTTTATAAATATATTAATTATAAAAAATATATTTATTATATTTTTAATTTATACACTAAAAACAAATAATAAAAAAACGTTTAAATTAAATCAGCCGGAGTCTAACTGATGACGAAAGCACACCTCACTTTTCCGTTTTATCCTTCGCTCTCCGTCCCTTCCTAAATGATGCGGAAAATTATAAAATTATTCTTATGACATGGATTTAAGGATGGGACCCATGCTGACTTATCAAACTTTTATCAAAGAGCAACGCTAGGGGCACTCGCCTCTTGCACTCTCCGGCCAACACTTTCTCTTTTATTGGGCCACGTTATTTTGGTGGCCGAGAGGTTTCTCTGAAAGCTTTAAAGAAACTTACGTGGCCCAATAAAAGGGGAAGTGTTGGCCGGAGAGTGCAGAAAGCGAGTGCCTCTAGCACTGCTCTTTATCAAATATTATTTAAGATTAAATTACATAATTTACCCTAAATTCATAATTAATTACGAGGATGCCATCATCTCCTTCCGCTTCACCTAGCCTCTCCTCATCCTCCCTTTCTCACACTTATGCTGGTTTGCTGATGTCCTCCATGTCTTTTTCCATGACCAGCTCCTTCATGCTTTTGACGCTGCCCTCCTCCTCTCATTCAGCCCATTCAACTCTCGTGCCTTCGTCCTTCGATGCCTCCATCCACCTCTCCTCCGATCCGGTTTGGGCTATTTCGCCACCGTGCAAGGAACCTAGATCCGGGTTCCATCGCCGCCGCGGGAGGAACCCAAATCTCTGGGCTCTCCCATTGCTCTCCGCACGCGTTCTTTGCCTAGATCCATCTTTAACTTTTTATGTTTTTTGCAATTTTATCATCTATTGTTTGTTTTATGTTACCCGATTGAATTGCATTAGTGTTTTATTCTGCTTCCTCTGTTTTGTGTTTGTGGTTTGAGTTGAATTGCAACATCCTAGTTGTTGGTCTGAGAATTGTGGAAAAATTTTTCCAACAAACCTTTTAGGTTCCTCGCTTGAATTGCAGATGAAATTTTCTAACAAATCCTTTGGGTTTTTCAGTAGTTTCCTCTCATATTAATTAAGAATTAAGGTGAAAGAACTTAATTAAGGTGAAAGAACTTTTGGTTTTGAAAATAATGAAAAAAATTTAAATGACAAATTTTGGGTTCGGCCGGAGCCAAAAAGATCATGCTCGTCGCAATCTTGTGGTGACGCGCGTAAACAATTGATGCAAGTTCCAACGTTAATTGCCCACCAAAGACACAAATCATGGATAGCCCAGAATAATTTCACATACCTATGAAGATTAGGACGGTTGCAGTTATGGGTGGGATGAGAAGGTGCAGAGAGGGAGGTAAGATGAGGTGCGAGAAAGAGGACGAGTAGTGGTAAAAAATAATAATCATAATAAAACAAAATGAGTGTTATTTTTGTCATGTTATTGAGGTAAAAATAATTTAGAAATAATTTTTTATATTATTTTTTAAGGTAATTTTATATTTTATTTAAATAATTAATTTTTTATTTATTTAAAATTTATAATATTTAATATATATTTATTTAGTAATATATAAAAATTATAAAAAAATAATATAAAAAATTATTTTTATATTGCTGTGCTACTAAATTTACTCGAGTCACAAAAAATAGGTTTTACAATTGTTGAATCAAGTCTTTAAGTCCAATCATTTAACCTCAAGTTTTAAGTGCTTGGGAGAAGTGGTCGGAGTTTTGAATTTTACCATTGTCGTGAATTCCACTAAAAGCAGTATGATAATCGCGCGCCTTATTTGAGGGGTGAAATGTTCACCCGATCTGAGGATCGAATTCCGATTGCTAACAATTAATTCATACTAACTTCCTAACCATTAGTATTGTTAAAAAAAAAAAAAAGTCTTACAATTGCCGAATCATCATAACCTTAACGGCGATGAAACGAGTTTAACGAAAAAGGGCGGTGTCATCAGTTAGATTCGGGCAATTTAATTCAACCTGATTTAATTTAACATCAAGGATTGAAAATTTTAAAAAAATGATAGGGTGTCATTTCAATAAGCTCGAAAGGTAAAAAGGCTAAAGTATCCTTTTCACCTGTGTCAATTTGATAAAAACTTAAAATTCAAGTTAGATGTGGATTGGTGGGGACAATTTAACTACTCATATATATATATATATTTAATTGCCCTGGCCTAACTATACATGTTTTTTTAGGTAATAAATTTTTTGTAATATTAATGATAATTAAAAAAATCACCATACATAAATCTTAGTATTGCCCTCTCATTAACAGCTGCTATCTCCTGCTGAGCTTTTGCCAGCTCTTCTGACAAAGAAGCTGGAGACCTTTAAGCAGCAACACTGGCTTCATTTTCTCTTGTATGCCAATAACTTCCTAGGTATCAAATGAAAAGAAAAAAAAAAACATAATATTAAACTTAACCAAAAGTTGAAAATTAGAAAATATGCAGAAATAGGAAAGAGTGACCATAATATTACATAATTGACATGAGTTTTTGATATTTAAAGGCTTACCTTCTTCTCTACCTCTTCCCTGGGGAGTTTACTTTCTCCTGTAGAGAACAATTATTTTCCCTACGGGGGCATTTGATAACAAAAAGGTCATTGTCATTTGGTATCAATTTTTATGAGGTAATTGATAGATACACTTAATATCTTGATAATAATTAAAATTTAAGTCATAATATTGTCATATTAAAAATTCTCCATCCCCCTATTCTTAAATTGTAACTGTTTAAAAAGAAAATAGTTGTCATTTGTCCCCTGACCAAGTTAATAAACAACTGTGCTTGTTTGTTTAAGATAAAAAAAAAAGGGGAGAAATTTGAAACTAGGGATGTCAACGGGTCTTGTGGGGCCGGGTTTCTTACTTTTATACTCGATATGAGATTTTTCCACTTAACAGATTCAATTTGCCAAAACGGGAAACATATACAATAAAAGGCAGTCACATAACTGACCAATCTAACTGTTGACTTTCGGCCATCAGGAAGTGTTGTAGAATATGAGGACCAATGCCATGGCAACACTCATGGCAGATAGTGTGAGTAAAGAAAGACTCAAAATCTACAGGTTCCCTTTGTTCCTTTTCGATACATGCATCATCTATCGGCTGAAGAATGTGCTTAAACTTTTTTTCTTTTTTTTTGAACAATGTTACAATTTTTAGGAGAGGGGGGAATCGAATCCCAACCTTCGAGCTGAAAAATGCACCTTACAAGCCAACCTATGATCGTTTGGCCGTGAGGTAGGGTGCAAATGTGCTTAACCTGGTTGAGAAGGAAAAGTGTTAAAAGTCTAACCTCTATGTTTTTTTTATTCCAGAATAATGATTAAAAGTTTCTGAAAAGCACTAAAAGGTGTACTTTGCCTCTGAGACATTCTTAAGCATGACCATGGATGTCCCTCGATCCTTTATAGTTCGGGCTAAAATCAACTTTGAGTTCCTCACCTTACAAAATTGATAGGTTTTAACTCCTAATCTTATAATATGGCACTTTTAGCTTTTTATCTTATAAAGTAAGTAGGTTTTAGCTCCTTATCTGTACGAGTTGAAAAAAATAACCTTTATTTAATATTAGGTTATAATGTTTTATCAATTCTGTTAATTGACTATCAATTTTGTTAGCTGACAGTCAGTTCTGTTAATTGATTGTTAATTTTGTTAGCTGGCTATTAGTTCTGTTAGTTGACTGTTAGCATCTATTAGCATTCCGTTAATAGAACTAACAAATAAAATTGAATTTAAATTTCATATTTTTTATAACAAAATACTAACGGATGTTAACAGTCAATTAACAAAACTAACAAAACGTTATAACCTGATGTTAAGTGAGGGCTATTTTCTCTAAAGTGAGAGCTATTTTCTTTAATTCGTATCGGTGAGGGGTTAAAAATATCATAATATAAGGTAAGGGGTTAAAACCTATCAACTTTGTAAGGTGAGGGGCTAAAACTTACCAACTTTGTCAGATAAAGGGCTAAACTGTCATATTATAAGGTGATGGGCTAAAACCTACCAACTTTATAAGGTGAGGGGCTAAATGTTGGTTTTTACTTACAATTCATTCATCATTTGGTAAATTGAAGGCAACAGTCTGAGGACCCTTTACATCCTATTTAAAATTATATTATAATATAAATTAGAATTACGGTCAAGAGAAAAGGAAATTAGATAATCAAAATAAAAACTTCCGTACCTTCTTCTCATTTCTCACATTTAATTTTCAATACAAATCATTTAACAATGTGATGTATCCACATAGAGTATGTGCATAAGTTCTTTGTTGGTCCACTAGTTACTCTCTCAATCTACTAAATGCTTATGTGTCTATTTCCAACAAAATTGTTACTAAATCAAAGTTCAAATAGGTTGGCATGAAGATGGATTTTTAAACAATGAACATGTGCCTTACGATGTTTAGAACAAAATCTTCCTACAGCATGGAGCCAAAAATCTCAAATGAGAATGAAGATGCAAATATATGTGAGCGTGTCTAAACTTATGCATATATGTGAACATGCATTATTGCATTTGCTTATTTCCATGTGTGACAGGCCTAATACCACATAAACAAAAGATTCTTTTGAAAAGAATATAATAACACAAAAGATTTTCAAGTAACAGCTCACCCCGGCCCTGCATTATAAATAAGCTGGATGACACGAATGGGAGCAGCAATAACGTCTTTTGATTTGTAAGCGTTATCCAATGGAAGATTTTTTTCCAAAACCTAAGATAGAAAAGATTTTGAACAAATTGCTCAGAAGAAAGGCAATACATCTTAGGCTCTTAGCTTGTCAAAACTACGCAAAATACCTGCAAATTATCGCCAAAGAATTTAACTTGAGCAGTTGCTTTGTCATCTCGGACTCTAATAAATGCCTCAAATGTAGCCTAAGATAAATATAGTGCATTAAACAAGCTGCACATCACATCAAAATAATCAAATCATTGCAACATGAATACAGTTTGTTTCAAATTTGATTTCCAATATGTACAACACAAGGGCACGCAGTTTGCAGCAGACGTGCGCACTTAAGCCACACAACAAGCTGTCCAAAATGAGCTAACAAGTTAATGAGGATAATTAAGGTGAATGAAAAATTTAGTTGAAGAATGTACAGTATGGAAAAACATTCATAAGGATTAGGTATAAGCCTTGAAAATGCTATTATGCCTTTCAAATTCCCAGTGTCATATTTGACATCTATAACATTAGAAATTGAACATATCTTCTAATTTCATAGGTCTCTTTTCATGCAGATATAAGAAATAAACTGGAAAGTGAAATATTTGAGACCATGAAAACTATCAATAAATTCTTTATAATGGATGACTTCACTTAATGCACCCCCAAAAAAATAATAAAAAAAAAAGTAGTGCCTACTTTATATATACCATAATGTGGATAGCCTTGTGACACTTATACACTGTGGTATACTAGGTTCCCATATTCAAAGAAACGCTAGCCTTTGCCCTTTCAAAGCTTGTAAATAGATTTGACTTAACTGTATATGGATGGGACATTGTAAATTGCCCAAATCATGTGGATGAAAGGAACTTTTCCTTTACTTTTCACAAAAATAAATTTGTAAATTTAAATTTAATGCTTCATGGACTTATGGTACACCAGATATAATAGTTATCCAAAGCCTCCAGAAGACATATTTCAAATTCAAAAGAGCATGTTTCAATGCACCTATGAAAGGAAAAGGCATGTTGCAACATTTTCACAAGGGAAGCAATATAAAAGCAAAACTATTAAGTAAGCCTGACTTCTTCAACAAAGCCAATGTTATGCAATACTAAAATAATTGGAGTGCAAGGAAATAGTAAAAACATCAACACCTTGTACCCAAACAATGCATCTTCATATGTCTCGTATGGACCAATTGTAACATCCAGCTTAGAATCCTACACCATGGAAATGAAATAGTCAGAAGAGGAAGTAGAAAGGCAGTTAAGTTTATTAAAACCAAAAGGATATGACTATTAAATTTAAAAATCTCAAAAGAAAAGTTTACTCAAAAAATAAAGAAA